CCTTGTCTCTGGTCTTCCCCAGTCTCTCCCTCCCCTTCCTTCGGGACCAGGACCTTCCTGTGTCCCCTGTGTCGAGGGGCGCCTCAGGGCTGCTCCTCACTCCTCCCAGTTTCCCCCGACAGAGGCTCCTCTGCAGACGCTTCACATGGACGTGTGGGGCCCGGCCCCCGTCCGTGGGCAGGGTCACGAGCGCTACTTCCTGTTGGTGGTTGACGACTACTCGCGTTACACCTCAGTCTTCCCCTTGCGCAGCAAGGGTGCTGTCACTGAGGTGCTGATCGACTGGATCCGCGAGGATCGTCTCCAGCTCAGGAGGAGCTTTGGCTCGGACTTTCCTGTTCTGCGTCTGCACTCTGACCGAGGTGGGGAGTTCTCCTCTCGCCTTCTGCGAGACTACTGTCGTGCACAGGGGATCCGCCAGACCTTTACGCTTCCGGACTCTCCACAGCAAAATGGGATTGCTGAGCGCCGCATTGGCATGGTCATGGATGTCGCTCGTACGTCCATGATGCATGCGGCTGCCCCCCATTTTCTGTGGCCGTTTGCGGTTCGGTACGCGGCGCATCAGCTCAACCTTCACCCCAGGGTCTCTCGGCCCGCGATGTCCCCAGTGTTACTGTGGACGGGGAAGGTCGGCGATGCGTCTGCGTTCCGTGTCTGGGGATCTCGGGCGTTTGTTCGCGACTTGTCTGCGGACAAGCTGTCCCCCCGTGCTGCTCCCTGTGTCTTCCTTGGCTTCCCCCCTGACGCTCCAGGGTGGCAGTTCTACCACCCCTCCTCTCGTCGTGTTCTGTCCTCCCAGGACGTCACGTTCGACGAGTCAGTCCCCTTCTACCGCCTCTTCCCCTACCGTACTTCTTCCCTTCCCCCCCCACCGGACTTCCTGGTACCAGTTCCCCCCCGGTAGACCCCCTCCCCCCTCAGGTTCCTGCCCCTTCGGGTGTGTCCCAGGTAGACACGGTCGAGCCAGTCGAGGTTGCTGCTGAGTCTGGTGCTGCTGCTGGGGGTGCTGAGCCTGGGGGTGCTGAGCCTGGGGGTGCGAGGCCGGGGGGTGCTGAGTCTGGGGGTGCTGAGCCGGGGGGTGCTGAGCCGGAGGGTGCTACGTCAGGAGCTGCTGAGCCTGGGGGTGCTGGGCCTGGAGGTGCGGAGCCTGCGCTTGCTGGACCTGGCGGCTCTCCGGTTCTTCCGTCTCGGCGGGAGCCGCTCTCTCCACAGGAGCTACGCGAGTGGTTTGCTCGCCGCTGGAGGCGTGCTGCTGGAGCTGGAGCTTCTTCGCCTGCTGCGGGTGCTGCCGGTCCCGGAGCTACTGGGCCTGCGGGTCCTACTGGAGCTGGAGCTACTGAGCCTGGGGGTGCTGAGTCTGGAGCTGCTGAGCCTGGAGGTGCTGAGTCTGGAGCTGCTGAGCCTGGGGGTGCTACGTCTCAAGCTGCTGTGCCTGGGGGTGCTGAGTCTGGAGCTGCTGAGCCTGGGGTTTCTCCTGCTGCTGCGTCTCGCCGGGAGCCCCTCTCTCCACAGGAGCTGCGCGAGTGGTTTGCTCGCCGCTGGAGGAGTGCTGCTGGAGCTGGAGCTTCGTCGACCGTCGAGGGTGCTGGTGCTGCCGGTCCCGGAGCTGCTGGGCCTGCGGGTCCTACTGGAGCTGGAGCTGCTGAGGGTGTTGGTGCTGAGACTACTGCTGTCTGTCCGGGCGGTGGTTCTGCTGCTGGTGCTGCTGGAGGTCCTGCCGCTGGAGGTGTTGGTGGCGCTGGTGCTGTCGCTGAGGGTGCTGGTGCTGTCCCTGCTGAGTCTGGAGCTGCCGCGCGGCCTCGGCCGTACTTCGTTCCGCTCCTACAGCAGGTTCTTGGTCTTTCTCCTTCGGTAGAGTGTCCACAGCCTGTCCAGTCGCAGTCACTGTTGGAGCCTTCCTCTCCTCTGCCTGCTCCCTCTCCTTACACTGGTCCTACTGGAGGTCTTGCTGAGCGTCGTGAGCCTGCGTCTCGTCCCGCGTCGCCTGTTCGTGCTGCTCGCGCTAGTGGTCGCGGTTCCCGTCAGCGTCCTCCTCCTGTCCCTGGCACGCACCGGATGTCTCTGCGTCCGTCCACTGCTCCTCTGCGTGCCCCTTTGCCTTCTCCTCCTGAGTCCTCTCTTCCTGCGCTTGCCGACCCTGAGTCGGACTCTCTTCGCGCTGCCAGTCCTACTGTCACGCGTCTGCTTGCTACTGTCGTCACTGACCCCTCTTTTGAGTCCACTGCTGCGTCTGCTCTAGTCGCTGAGCTCGTTGACTTTGCTGCTCGCTGTCGTCTCGACTACGCTGCTGGTCTTGTTGCTGAGTCTGCGTCTATCTGTCCTCCGTCCGTCGGGGGTGAGTGTGCTCTTGGCACGGACGTCCTAGAGGACAGACAGGAGGAGTTACAGTGTCTAGCGGCTGCTTCACCTCATCTCGCGTCTGTACTGCTTGCCCCTGAGGGAGACCCGGATGCACTAGACATCCCGACTCCGCGTTCTTACGCGGAGGCCGTAGAGGGTCCCTACTCCTCTCAGTGGCAGGCAGCTATGGATGCAGAGATGGCTTCCTGGAAGTCCACAGGCACCTACGTTGACGCGGTTCCCCCTCCTGGGGCGAACATCGTCAGTGGCATGTGGATCTTCCGGGTGAAGCGGCCGCCGGGCTCTCCACCTGTCTTCAAGGCACGGTACGTTGCTCGTGGCTTCAGTCAGCGGCAGGGAGTTGACTACTTTCAGACCTTCTCTCCCACCCCGAAGATGACCACTCTTCGGGTGCTGCTGCACATAGCCGCTCAGCGCGACTACGAGCTTCACTCTCTCGACTTCAGCACTGCGTTCCTGCAGGGTAGCCTGCACGAGGAGATCTGGCTGCGCCGTCCACCTGGCTTCACTGGGACTTTCCCTCCTGGCACCCAGTGGAGCCTCCGACGGCCAGTCTACGGTCTCCGCCAGGCACCGCGTGAGTGGCACGACACACTGAGGACTACGCTTGCGGCTCTTGGGTTTGCTCCTTCTACTGCTGACCCGTCGCTGTTTCTGCGCACCGACACTTCACTGCCGCCGTTCTACATCCTCGTGTACGTCGACGACTTGGTCTTTGCCACAGCGGACACTGCTGGACTCGCCTACGTGAAGTCCGAACTGCTGAAGAGACACACGTGCACAGACCTGGGTGAACTGCGCAGCTACCTTGGCTTGCAGATCACTCGGGACAGAGCACGCCGCACCATTACCTTGACTCAGTCACACATGGTGCAGCAGGTCCTTCAGCGCTTCGGCTTCACGTACTCCTCGCCTCAGGCCACTCCTCTGCCTACTCGCCACTCACTCTCAGCTCTGCCTTCGGATGAGTCCGTAGAGTCGAGTGGTCCGTATGCAGAGCTTGTTGGCTGCCTCATGTACCTGATGACCTGCACACGACCTGACCTTGCATACCCTCTGAGCATTCTTGCACGCTATGTTGCTCCTGGGAGACACAGACCAGAGCACATGGCTGCAGCGAAGAGGGTATTGCGCTACCTGTGCAGTACGTCGGGCATGGGGCTTGTGCTTGGAGGGCGGAGTCCAGTGGTCCTTACCAGCCACGCGGACGCTTCTTGGGCTGACGACCAGGCTACGCAGCGGTCGTCACAGGGTTACACCTTCAGCCTTGGTTCCGGCTCTGTCTCGTGGCGGTCTACTCGCTCGTCTTCGGTTCTCGGCTCCAGCTGTGAGGCTGAGATCTACGCCGGGGCCATGGCTGCACAGGAGCTTCGCTGGCTCACCTACCTGCTGACTGACCTTGGAGAGCCGCCTCGTTCTCCTCCAGTGCTGTACGTAGACAACAAGGCCATGCTGGCCTTGTGTCGAGAGCAGCGCTTGGAGCACAGAACGAAGCACATTGCTCTCCGCTACTTCCTTGCTCGTGAGCTGCAGCAGCGTGGTCAGTTGCGACTTGCGTACGTGGCCTCTGAGGCCAACACTGCTGATGTGTTCACCAAGGCACTCGCGCCTTGTGACCATCAGCGCTTTTGCACCCAGCTGGGTCTTGTACCTGTCTTGCCTCACTTGCTCTCCTCTTGACTTCACTTGTACTGTGACATATATATATACCTGCTCTTGCTTGTCTAGTTTTATATATATGTCTGTACTCCTGCTTGTGAACTGGCCTCTGGCCCTGCTCTTGTGCTCGGACTGTGTGGTGACTTTGTGATCCACCCTGAGCTTGCTTTGCTTTGCTTGACTGGTCTTGTGACCCCTTGTTCTCCCCCACTTTGCCTATGGGGGTGTGTCAAACATTATATATGTTATGCTTGTGTAGGCTACAGTGGGTTAGCCTATAGGGGGTACACAATTCTAGGGTTTCCTACTTGTACTCATTTTCACTGCTAGTTCATTTGTTCCTGTTCGCTTATTCTCACACATCGTTTGAGGTGAGTTTCGACGTGTTTTATTGTTCTTGTTCCCAGACCTATTTAACAATGTGGTTGTTTTATGCAGCGGATATATGGACCATGGTATATTGATTACGGCAAGTGTTTCATCGTACTAATTACGGTAAGTAGATGTTATGCGTTTTTGGTCTTATCTTTTGTTTAATAGTTGATGGTCTTTGTCGTCTGTAATTTCAGTTAGGCCAAAGTCGACATCGTGTTAACCTTTTGCGCTCTTGTTTGTACATTGCTGTATGAATGTGTTTATTAATGAAAATTTGTAAAATTGCCCTGTAACATCCGCTTCAAAATTTTGTTGTAGCGGGTGATTATTACTGTGTTCTACGTATCTGTGTTTTGTAATCACGGTTTTGATTATTTAATGCTGTATCCGGTGGTGTATTTATCTCAATTAAAGGCGATAACGAATTATCAATTTCGTTAAAAGGAATAGATAAACTAGCAATAACTTTTTGATTTATAACGCATTCAAAATATATTGGGTAACACAAATGGTTACACCTGGTAACTGATCAAGCCTCGCATGTGCGATATCCTCTTTTCGGCTCCGATGGTAACAAAATCGAACCACTCGTGCCAAGTGACATGCGATGCGTTGGTAATACAGTGCAGTCGGCCCGCAGGTTGGTTTCGACAATTTCCAGGTTGACTGCAGGGTGGTTCTGTTGCCCCGCAATTACCCCCCCGCATTGATTCGCGACTGACACGACTCCCGAAATCGGGAGTCACCAGGAAGGCTTCCAGCTAATTGCTGGAAGCCACAGTTCTTCGTGCGATGTGAACGCTCTAAACATCTCAGGATCGGATTTGAACGTCACAGATTTGATTTCCTCCCATATCTCCGGAATCCAATCCAACATCTCCTCCATCAGCACCGGCATCGCCGCTCTGAACAATGACCTGGCCGGGATACTCGGCTCGGGCGTTGGCTCGGGCTCAGGCTTGGGCGCAGGCTTGGCGGGCGCGTTGCGTCCAGCCGCTGGGGCAGCTTCCGCGAGTGGGAGCGCGGCGATCCGCGCGGCCGTGAGGCAGCGTCTGGCGGCTGTGACGCAGCGAGTCGCGGGGCTCAACGGGAACGTGTCCGCCCTCTCCGGGATGGTGACCGACTTGCACGGCGCGCTGAGCAGCGCTCTGGATGACGCTTTGAACAGCGCTCTCAACGGCGCTTTGAACGGCGCTCTGAATGGGGGTTTGAACGACGACGGTGTGAGTGGCGTTGTGGGGAATCTCGCGAATCTTCTGCCTCAGCCGGCAGGCATGCTGCGTGTTGTGCTGACGTCATGCAACGGCCTGCTGTCTCTCCAGGCCGGCGCTGCTGACATTCAGATCCTCAAGATGTGAGTCACTTGTGTTGACTGTTGACTCGTGTTGACTCCTGTTGGCTGTTGACTCTTGTTGACTCCCGTTGACTCCTGTTGGCCCAGGCTGACTCCTGGTGACTCGTGTTGACTCGATGTTGAACCATGTTCCCTTCCCTTTCACTCCGTCCACATCCCTCCCGTCCCATACGCAGTGGCTCAGATTACATGGTCACATACTACCTCTTCGTTGCGGGAGTGACCAAGGCCCCGGACTCGCAGGCCATCTTCAAGGGCAACACCTGCGGCACCGCTGCTGCTTCAGCAGCCCTCGCCCTGCCTGGCACGTGGGTGCCCATGAGCCCTGTGTCCTGGTCGCTGGCCAATGTCGTCAGGGCGTCAGCTGCTGACGTGGCGGATGTGCTGGCGTCGATCCAAGGGATCACCAATGATGACCTGTTCCTCGGATTCTCCGGTGCTGACGTGGCACTCTCAGGGAGAATGATGGGTGGAAGGGTGTGACTCGCACTGCATGTCAACAAGAACAGGGGTTGGTGAGGGAACATTGCAGAAGCACCACTCATGCTTGGAGATACAAAAATAACGTGCAGCTAGATGCAGTTGTATGTCACGGGATAGGAGAAAATGCTTTTGTAATGTTCCATTCATCAAAAGGAGTTTTGTTTGATGGCCCGTTACGTGATAGCTATAAAAACCTCCACTTAGGTCTTGGTTGGAGGTAACAGGTGTTGGGCTGAGAAGCCCTAGGATCTTTGTAGAGTTTAAGGACTGAGTAGGATTGTAATAGCGGAAGCGTTGTAATACAGAGTGGTTGAACCACCTTGCACTAGTATGTGAGAGCAAAGTAAGTTAGATTAAACTGTCAGAATGAGGAATGAATGGTTCCATTGATGTTGGTTGGGGTACATATAACAAACCCTAACTTCTGTACCCCCTAAGACAAACCTCACTACAGGCTACAACATTTGACACACCCCCATAGCCTAAGTGAGGGGTGTCTAGCAAAATCAAAAAGAGTACGGTCACAAGACCAGTCCAAAAGAAAACAAAGCTCAGGGTGGATCACAACGTCACCACACACTCTGAGCACAAGCAACAGTGGCCACAAGGCCAGTCCAAGAGATCACAAGTATATATAGCAAGTGTACAGACGAAGCAGGCAATAAACTCAAGTCTACACATGACTAGAACCTGAGTCAACAAGGCCTAACTGCACACAACACCTCTGGTGGTCACAAGGCGGAAGCGCCTTGGTGAAGATGTCTTCAGTGTTGGCCTCGGACTCCACGAACTCGAAGCTAGCCTGTCCACGTCTCTGCAACTCTCGCAGAAGAAAGTACCTGACGTGAATGTGCTTCACTCTGCTCTCCAGTCGCGGCTCACGACAGAGGAGGATCGACGCCTTGTTGTCAGTAAACAAGGTCGGTGCAGAGCTCGGCCGCTCACCAAGGTCGGCGAGCAAGAAGGTCAACCACCGCAACTCCTGTGCCGCCATGGCACCAGCGTAAATCTCAGCCTCAGCTGTAGAGGTCGAGACAGAAGAGGAGCGCGTGGAACGCCAGGAAACAGCTCCAGAACCCAGACTGAAACAGTACCCCTGAGTAGACCTGTGAGTCTCAGCGTCGTCAGCGTAAGAAGAGTCACAGTGACCAGTGAGTACGACAGACTGCTGCCCTCCAAGAACTAGCCCCACGCCTGATGTAGTCGCTAGGTACTTCGCCACCCTCACAGCTGCCGTCCAGTGAACAGGACGGTGTCTCCCTGGCGCAACAAAGCGCGCAAGGATGCTGAGAGGGAAGGCGAGGTCCGGGCGAGTACAAGTCGTCAGGTACATGAGGCAACCCACAAGCTCTGCGTAGGGACCACTAGGCTCAAACGGCTCGTCAGGAAAGGGACCAGTGAGTCTGTGGTCAACAGCGAGAGGTGTGCGCTGTACGGTGGAGTGCTGAAGCCCGAACCGCTGAAGGACCTGCTGCACCATGTGTGACTGTGAGAGTGTAATGGTGCGAGCGGCTCTGTCCCTGGTGATCTGCAGGCCAAGGTAGTGGCGCAGCTCACCAAGATCAGTGCACGTGTGTCTCTTCTGCAGTTCGGACTTCACGTCTGCCAAAGCAACCCTGTCCGGAGTGGCGAAAACGAGGTCGTCGACGTAGACCAGGACAAAGAACGGTGTGGAGCCACGACGAACGAACAGCGACGGGTCGGCAGAAGACGGCTGGAACCCAAGGTCAGAGAGGGTAGAACGCAGAGTGTCGTGCCACTCACGAGGGGCCTGGCGAACCTCCAGTGCCTCCTCCAGCTCCACCTCCTGCTCCAACACCAGCTCCACCTACAGCTCCAACACCAGCTCCAACACCAGCACCCCCAGAACCAGAAACCGGTACAGGAACAGGCGCAGCACCAACCTCTCGAGAGCTAGCACCAGCGGCACGCTGCGAGGAGGACTGTGGGGAGGGAGGCTGTACCGGAGGGGCTACCGAAGGAGGAGGGGTAGCCTGGGACACACCTGACGGGGCTGGGCCAGGGGGGGGAGGCTGTACCGGGGGAGCAGGAGGGGGAGCGGCAGTCAGGAAGAGGGGGGGAGGAGGAACCGGGAGACCTCGACTGGGGTACCTGACGTAGTACGGAGTGGACTCCTCGAAACGGACGTCACGGGAGTCAAAGAACCGGTGAGAGGGAGGGTGGTAAAAGGTGAAGTCAGAGGAGTCCTCACGGAAACCAAGGAAGACACAGGGGACGGCACGAGGCGAGAGCTTGTCCGCGGAGGTGTCGCGGACAAGAGCCAAGCACCCCCAGACACGAAACCGCGACGCAACACCAGGGGACCCTGTCCAAAGACTGGTCGGTGAAACCTCTGGTCGAGAGACACGTGGCCAGAGGTTCAGCTGGTGCGCGGCGTACCTGACCGCGTAGGGCCACAGAAAATGGGGGGCACAGGCGTGAGTCAGGGAGGTGCGGGCGATCTCCATGACCAGGCCTATGCGGCGCTCAGCAACCCCATTCTGCTGTGGGGACTCTGGAAGCGTCCAGGACTGACGAATGCCCTGCTCGCGACAGAATCCAGCGAGAATGCCGGAGCGAAACTCACCCCCACGGTCGGAGTGGAGACAGCTGACACGACGACCACGAGTGTCCTCGGTGGTGAGCAACCACCTGATCAGCGTAGAAGTCACCTCAGACTTCTTCGCCAGAGGGAACACTGTGGTGTAGCGGGAGAAGTCGTCAACGACCACCAGAAAGTAACGCTCACGCTCAGGGCCTAGACGAGGGGCGGGGCCCCAGACGTCCAAGTGAAGCGTCTCAAAAGGCTCGGTGGCCGGACGAAGGGAGGAGGAGTGAGGGGTGGCGGGCAGCCTACCCTCGACGCAGGGACGACACGGCGGCGCAAGCGAAGGCGGCAGCGACGGCAAGACACGTGGGAGGCCTAGGACAAGACGCTGACTAGACATAGCGCGCAGACGAGGAAGGGACGGGTGCCCCATCCGGTGGTGCCACAGAACGGTGGGGTGGGCAAGCGACCGGCAGGAGCACGACGCAGCGACTGGAACAGACGTAGGAACCTGACACGACACAGACACCTGGGGGGACGAAGCAACCTGGTGAGACGCGGGGACCCGAACGGGGGGGGGAACCGGGGGCAGTGGCAGTAGGGGGGGCTGCTGGTGCGGCCGCTGGTGCTGCTGGTGCTGCTGCTGCTGCTGCTGCGGCTGCGGCTGCTGCTGCTGCTGCGGCTGCTGCTGCGGCGCACGCGGGCCAGTGTGAAGAGTGTAGAGACCCGAGCCCGGCTCAGCAGTAAAGGTAGCAAGAGGCTGGTAAGAGTCTCCGTCAACACACACCGCAGTCTCTCCAGAAGGCTCAAACCACACACCCACGTGCTGACTCACGAGGGGTCGCACGCCCACCAAGTTCCGGGAGAACGAGGGGACGTGAAACCCAGTGAGAGACCCGGAGGGAGCAGCAGGACACGGTAAAGTGGTAGTGTGACGTGCAGTGACTGGTCCCGTAGTGGGATCAGCCAACGCTACAGAAACAGGCGCAGGAAGTGGTGTAAGTGTCGTGCTGTCCCGGAAGAAGCAGTGGGAGGCTCCAGAGTCCAGTGTGAACGACAGCGAAGCGTCGTCTGAGGTAGTCGCTGGTCTAGAGTCTACACAAGTACCTACACTAGCAACAGGCAACTGAGCAAGACTAGCACCTAAGCTAACAACACCAGAGTAAACAGAATCAGAAACACTAGAGTCAACAACAGCATACATAGCATGAGGAGCACTAATCAGATCAACTAACTGCTCAGCAGACATGCCCCACAGAGCGGAGCCGTAGCGCTGAACCAGAGGAAGCCAGTCAGGAGCAGGACCGCCAACCCCGTAGGTCAACCGGACCGTGTCAGTGAGCTGAGCAAAGCACTGACCAGGGGGGTGAAAGCGGCCACAAGGGTGGCCCCGACGAGGACCTGTCTGAACCTGGTAGGGGCAGGGAGGGTAAGCCGCACCGCGCTGGGGCTGACGCAGCCCCGACCCCGGAGCCAGCTAATGACGCTGCTGCTGCTGAGGCTGCTGGGAGGAAAGGGGCTGCTGCTGCTGCTGAAGGTGCTGCTGACGCTGAGCCTGGTACCATGCCGCTGCTCCACCTAGCGGGGCCGACAGTACAGGAGGCGACTGACGAGCTCGGGGGTCGCCGCCACCAGCAGGTGGAGTGGAGTCACCAGCCGCTGCACGAGGGGTCTCTCCAGACGCTGCACTCCCACCACCGCCAGTCGCAACAGCACCCCCACTACCTCCGCTACCTCCGCCTCCACCTCCACCAGAACCACCTTTCTTGCCCCCCCTGCCGCGGGACCGCGACGCAGTCGTAACAGCAGCCGCAGTCGCGTGAGTAGCGGCAGTGGCAAGAGAGGCAGTGAAGGTGGGTAACTGCGGGACTGTGCACCCGTGGAAGAGTGGGGGGGACACAGTACCAGAGGCGGCAGCTACCGAACGAAGGTTGCTCTCGACGTCCTTGAGTGCAGACTCAAGGACCTCGATAGTCAGCTCACTAGGGTGCTTCAGCAGAAGCGCGTCACGAACGGAGGCAAGGCGGTCAGGGAGGCTAGTGGCGATGAAATAGACAGTGATCGCCATGGGGGGAGGAAGCAGTGCAAGCTGTGCCTCAGTGCAAGCAGCGCGGTAACTAGCGTCGAGCGAGCGGAGGTGAGCGATCAAGTCAGCAGAGCGCTCAAACGAGGCAAGATCAGGAAACAGGAACGGGAGGAAAAGACGGCCAAGAGAGACAGTAGCGGGAGTAGAGTAGCGGGCCTTAATCGCAGTGAGGTACGCAGCAGCGGTGCAAACCTGAGTAAAGTGGACCTCCTCAGACTCAGGGAGGAGGCTGCTGAGTACGATGCAGGCCGCAGCGTCACGCGACGTCCAAGCCGTCCGGTCAGCGCGCTGACGGGCAAAGCGAGCCGTAGCAGCGTCGTCAGGAGCAGGGCCTAAAGCTGTAGGCTCGGGGGGCTCGGGGAGGTCACCAGTAGCGTGTGACCAGAGGGTCTCGCCCCCCTGGACCTGACTCTCTAACAGGCGGCGAGCGCGAAGAAGCCAGACGGAAAAGTCAAGTGGTCTACCGTCAGCGTCGAAACGAAGAACTCGCGGAGTCGCCATAGTGAGAACTAAAGCGAACGAACAGGCGAGTAAGAACCGGGGGGGAAGAGGACTCAGGTGCAGCGGAAGAGCGGGCTAGGGCGACGGGCCAGGACGTAGGGAGGGCAACGGGCCAGAGCCTAGGGTAGGGCGACGGGCCAGGGCCTAGGGTAGGGCGACTGGCCAGGGCTTAGGGTAGGGCGACGGGCCAGGGCTTAGGGAGGGCGACGGGCCAGGGCCTAGGGTAGGGCGACGGGCCAGGGCCTAGGGTAGGGCGACGGGTCAGGGCCTAGGGTAGGGCGACGGGCCAGGGCGTAGGGCAGGGCGACGCGACGGGGGAAAGGGCGGGAGCGACGCGACGGGGCAGGGCGACGCGACGACACAGGGCGACGCGACGGGGCAGGGCGGCGCGACGGGGCAGGGCGACGGGACGGGGCAGGGCGACGCGACGGGGTAGGGTGACGCGACGGGACATGGCGACGGGACGGGGGGGGGAACAGGCGGGCACAACGCAACGGGGGGAACGGGCGCGACGCGACGGGGGGGAAAGGGCGTGACGCGACGGGGGGAAAGGGCGCGACGCGACGGGGGGGAGGGGAAAGGGCGCGAGGCGACGGGGAGAAAGGGCGCTAAGCGACGGGGGAAAGGGCGCTAGGCTCGGTACTAGGCGCGGTAACAACGGAACTGGTACGAACGAGAGGTAGGATCAGGCTCGGGAGGTACGAACGGAGAACGGAGGAACGGGATCCCACAGGATCCTAACCTAGCTGATACCATGTCAGAATGAGGAATGAATGGTTCCATTGATGTTGGTTGGGGTACATATAACAAACCCTAACTTCTGTACCCCCTAAGACAAACCTCACTACAGGCTACAACATTTGACATAAACAAGCAAATACAAGGTTTATATAAGAGTACAAGGAATACGAATAGATAGATTTAAACCGTTTTACTCTTGCGATTCGATACAGTGCGACTTGGGCAACTGCTCAATGTCGAGTCAGTTGTGTGTCCTTGCTGTCGCGCTGTAATTGTCGAGTCAAAGGTCGCTGACCTTTGACTTTCCCGTAACCTCTAGGCGGTTACCCTAACCTCCGAGGGTTGACTCGCGATGCTTCGATTTGGGCTGCTTCGCTAGTGTCCTGAGTTTCGACACGACAGAGGCGCCTTAAGACTTATTGTTCCCAACACTCCCCTTCGCTTCTGGAGTGTCGCTGATGGTGACGTGGCCTTGTCCAGTCAGCAGCATGCAGTACTCGAACTTCTGTTTTCCGAGTTTCTTTGTCAAATAATCGGCTGCCATCTCGGACGTGGGACAGTAGGATAATTCGAGTTTCCCTTTCTCGATTTCGTCCTTTACGAAGAAGTATCGCAGAGCGATACCGTAAGCCCCCGGATAGAAGCGCAGGCCTCAGATAAGCGCCGGCGCTTATAAAAGGATGAGGGCGCTTATATCCGGTCCTCGATTATAAGCACACCCCTGAAGGCTTACGGATTATAAGCGCCACCCTCTTCTTTTTTATTATAATTTTACTGAAATCGTTGTAACGAAACTCAACATTTTCATTCCCACATTTTGAATTTCGATGCCCCCTCACCCTCGCCCAGCTCACTGGCAACGCGTCCAGTCAGAATGAGCTGTCGAGGGCGCACGTTGACTCATTCTGACTGTGTGTGTTGGCAGAGGGAGTCAATCCTTGCCAGCTTGCACGCGAGATTCTCAATCACAGCCTTGTACAGTATAGTTTCACATTCTGACTGTGTGTGTTGGCAGGGAATCAATCCCTGCCAACTTGCATGCGAGATTCTCAATCGAACCCTGTATAGTTTCGACTCGATTCAATTCGCAAGAACGGGATCTACAGTTTGGTGGAAAAACGACGAATTTCATATATGCTATTATATAAGCACCGGCGCTTATAAAAATCCTCAATTATAAGCGCACCCCCTAAAAAAACGTGTTTTTTTATAACCCCAGGGGCGCTTCTATCCGGGGGCTGACGGTATGCTTCGTTCTGTTCGCGAATCCGCTTTTGTTGGCGATGCGAATTGCAGATTGGTTGTCGCAGAACAGGGTGAAGTTGGGTAACTCGGCTAACTTTGCTTCTTCCAGCAGCTCGCGAAGGTAGAGTCCTTCCTTGGTGGCTGAGCAGAGGGCGATATATTCTGCTTCAGCTGAAGAGAGAGCGATTAGTTCCTGCTTACTCGACTGCCAGGAGATAGGCCCGATAGGCTCGAGACGATAGACGTAGCCGGTACGAGAACGCCTGTTATCAGAATCGCCGGCATGGTCAGCATCGACGTAGCCGATTAGTTTCGTCGTCGTAGCTTCGCCCTTGTAGTAAGTTAGGCCGATCGTCGGTGTGCTCACGAAGTAGTGCAGTGCGCGATCGAGCTCCGCCATGTGCTCAGCTTCGGGTTTCTTGAGATAGGTGGCGAGTTGACTCGCGGAGTAGGATAGATCCGGGCGACAGGTTACGGCTGCGAAGAGGAGGCAGCCTAGTTTCCTCTGGTAGTCTCGTATTCCGGCAGCCTTAAGTGGAGCGGGATTTCCTTTGCCGCTTCCTGTCGTGTGGCGGTATGGCGTGGCGATGGCGGTAGGCGTGAGAGAGAAGCGCTTGGCGATAGTGTCGGCGTATTTCTCGGCGTTGAGGTAGATAGCATTTTCTTCTTCGCGGATGTTGAGCCCGAGATACTGGGTGACGGTGGAGGAGACGGTGAGCGTGAGGTCCTTCTGCAGCTCCCCTTTGAACCAGGCGATGACGTCGTCGGTAGAGCCGATGTAAAGCAAGTCGTCGACATAGACGATCAGTAAGATGTAGTCAGCGCCT